AATTTAAAAAAAAAAAAAAAAAAAAAAAAACTATCACATCATTAATCTGTTAAATATTTGACCATAGATCTCAAAATGATCATATTAGATATATACACATAGTTTAAGGGGGGGGGGAAATAGAAAAATTGATACTCTTAGAGAGCTGCCTAAGAGTTCACCAATACTTTAAGGAGAGGACATGATCATTTTAAGGATATAAAAAATATAAACATGATCATAGTTTTAGTAAAAATATAAACATGAAAATTTTAGAGAGCTCTAAATTGAATTTGGACAGAACAATAAGGTGAAAATATGCAGTAATCTGTACTAAGGGTTAATTGTACACAGGTCCCCTGGTGCATATATCATTGATTTAAACTTACTATCTTAATTTACAGCTTCAAATTTGAGCAATATATCCCAGACTTCACCTAGAGTAAAAGAGCAATGTTAATCATAATTGAGGAATTAATATAACCTCTCTAGAAATCATATAGAAGAGTAATTAATTACAAGCCCTTATTATCATAGCGATCCAAGACCTTTATACAAGGCTCTACATGTATAAGACATATCAAAACTCACATGAACACCATAAGGTTGTTCTTCATAACATAATTTGCTACAAGTTGATTCATCTTCTCAGTTGGATGAAATGCATCCCAAAACACGTACTTGTTCGCATCAGTGCAGGTGAACGGGTTCATTTTGTTACACATGTATCCCATCTCAAATACTCCAGTCGCGCAACACGCTACCCCTGCGTTCTCAAATCCTGCACGCATCACAATTCAATTGCATAAAACTCAAAATTTTGTTTCTTGGTTAAAAAAAATGTAATTTATACAGTAAACATCAGCTTGTTACGAAAACAGATAGAATAGTTCCAGGAGAAAGAAAATCTTTCCCCCCCTTTTTCCATCATCTTCTATGTTCAGGATTGGCTTGTAGCAGGTTAGGCAGATGATTAATGTATACAAGACCATGATGTGCCGTGCCTTACATCAGTGCATATGTGATCTATATACATTTATGCAACATAATAACTTTTATCTCATAGGTTAACACCATTGTCAACAATTTTTCAATAGATATAATAAGCATAGATTAGATCTTTTATCTCATAGGTTAACACCATTGTCAACAATTTTTCAATAGTTCGGGATAGTTTTATTAATTTTGACATTTCATAATAGTTTTCTCTAATAAAATCCTTATGATATCTGCAGACCTATTGACGTAACAAGCCGTGGGATCCACTGAACGTAGCACGCTGTTTCGCTCAAACCACTGATACAACACTTGATTATTGGGTTTACCTATTTAAGCCGCACAAATTTTTCGCACTTTCCCGCTGTGGGGACTATTTCACTTGGGGGTCTCACATAAGGGCACTTAACTAGTACTCATGAACTTAGGTTTAGAGAAGAATAGAATTGCAGATGACCCCCTCCCTTGTGAAACCAGGAGTGTTACGTGCTACTAAAATAGTTAAGAAGTGATAAGTTCAATCGAGTCCAGGGGGGTTATTTGCTATCCATCCTCTGTGAGTTTTTTTTAAAAAATTTTGAATTAGACATTGATCTTACCATAAGAATCCGGCTTCTGGACAACCTGAGAAACAATTTCATACGCATTTCCATAAGCAATCCTCATCCCTTTCAATCTCCCATTCAATTTTCCCACCAAAGCCTCCAACTTCCGATTAAACTCCCTCGAAACCCTGTTATACTCCTCATTGCACGCGCTTCCCGCCATAAAATCCATGGCCCTCTCCAACGGCAAGCACCCCATTGGAGGAACTCCGGTGAGGTCGAGCTTTCGGGCCCCCAGACGATACAATTCGACGACGAATCTCTCGGAGATTCCGACGAGGAAGTCCTGGTACTGTTGCACCGTGAACTGCGCTGCTCGGCCTCCTGGGATCGAGTAGTAGTTCTCGAGGAAGTCGTTGGTGCCGATGCTCATCACGTAGAGCGCCTCGCTGAGGACAGCGGTGGCATTTTGATCGCCTAAGTAGGATTTGAGCTTGGCTTGGTAGTCCTTGAAGTAGTCCAGCTCTTTCCATAGAGGGATTACTGACTGCAAGAGGGAATTATTGTTCTTGTAATTTCGATTTTAACAGGGAGCTATATGAAATTCATATATAAAGAATTTTTAGATATTGGTCCCTCGCATCTTTCGTAATTTCAAATAAGTTCTCCAAATTATTAAAAAGCTAGCTATTTTAATCCCAAAATTCATGTAGGGGGGTTTTCCAACTAGCTAGTTTCTATGTTAAGTTAGTTTTTTCTTTCAATTTGTTATTAGTGTTTACTGTGTTTACTTAACAAGTTAACATGGCAGATCATCGTTTTGCCCTCAATTCATTCATTTACTCCCAATTTCGTCGGAATCGAAGACTGCCGTTTGGAGTGACTTCTATGAACTGGGGACAGACGTAAAAAATTATTTATTTCGTGGACCCTATTATAAAATAGGAAAGCATTAAAGGACCAACATGTCAAAATTTACGTACAAAGGAACTCAGGAAGAGTGCATTTAATACCATACTCAAAGTGAGCAGATGTTGGTGAGAATGATATCTATTGTTCGGTTCTAAACAAGAAATACTGTTTTGATAATAAAAAAATTTCATTTCAGACATCAGTTATTTTCCTGTAAAATTTCAAAAAAATAAAAAATAAAAAATATAATACCAGCACATCAGAGGTGGCATTGTCATAACCAGTTCCAGCGGAAGCAAAGCAGACACCAGTAGCAAAATCCTTGATGCCGTAAGCAGGATCCAAGTAGGCCGGCACCGACGGCTTCAGCCCGAACGCCTCCGATATGAAGTCCGTCGGAATCCGGCCGTTCGAGAACCTCCCGGTTGGCCTCCCGCCCTCGAAATCTCGGCCGTAGGGCTCGAAATTGCTCTTCAGTATCGTCGATAAGCCGTTGTTGTTGCCGGCGTCAACCGTAGAGTCCCCGAACACAATGATTGCAGTAACTTTAGCAGAGGCTTTATGTGGACGCAGGAGAATTTGGAGTAGGGACAGACACAGCACCAAGGTCTTCAGGGACATTTTTGAAAGGGGAACTAGAACTTCTGATGGAGATATTATGGTTGATTTATACAGCGATCGCCGGGTTGTTGGTAGTTAAATGGGGTAACGCTGCTGAGTGCACTGCGGGTCCTGTAGTGAACAATAAATAAATCACTATGTAGTTCCGACCCTTGCCGTTGAAAATACTATTTCATTTACATAATTTAAAGAGTAAATTGCACTAGTCCTCCGAGAACTTTCAGCGTTTCGCAGTAAACCCCAGTAAACCTCCGATAAATTTCCAGGTTTCGCAGATGACACCCCTGATAGCTAGCGTCGGTCTGCATTCAGGATAGAAAGGTGTCGCCATCGCGAAATGTGGAATGACGCCGTCACGGGGGTTTCCTGCAAAAAATGCGAAAGCTTATTGAGGGTCATGTACAATTCCAATAGCCATTGAGGGTTAAGTGCGAGGTGAAAGTTCTTGGGAGTTTAGCGTAAATTACACCAGTTTAAATACAATAGCTCTTTTTTCTACTATAAACTATTTTTCTTCTTTCGCTGCGGGTAAAAGAGTAAAATAACCACTCAGGGGGTCTATATGCAGCAGTAGAACTACAAAGGGTCCATCCGCAATTTACAAAGGGTCCATCCGCACTTAACCAATTGATATTTGAGACTATATAGTTATTCTTATTGCATACTGTTGAGCTTTTATTGTAGCAGAGGAAGAGTCCCCAGCCACCAGAAAAGGGTGGCAGAAATAATGAGTTGATGACAGGGACTGATAACCAACAAGTATTTAGTATTTGCTGCTCCCCTGCTATCCAACTATAAAAATAGGCTACTCAACTCATTTTCAAAGTCCAGAGTAACTGCAGTTGAAAATGTCAGCGGAGAGTACCGTCGTTAACTTAATTAAACAGAGACTTCCCCCCCTAACAAAAATGAATTAAGCTTAATGAAGTACCTAAGATTTTGTTTCAAAGTTGGCATGTGAGCTCATATTAGGGTTAATTACAGAGAAAAACCCCATGAACTTTTGGGGGGAGCTGCAGTAAACCCTCACCAACTTTTTTTTTTATTACACTAAACCCCCATGAACTTTTAGGAAGTTGCACATAGCCCTCATAAGTTTTTATTTATTTCACTAAATTATACATAAAAATTTCTCATTTGACCTTCAAATTAGCACCACCGATTCTAACATGTCACGTGGCAAGCATGTGCCAACAAGAAAATGAAAATAATTTCTTAGACCCAAAAATTTACCTATCTTTCCATTTTAATAGAAGGATTTTTTTTTTTTTTTGGTGGGTGGGG